GGAGCTCGCCCGGCGCCCGAAGCCCCATGCCCGGAGACCCGAGCGCCGCGCTCCGCGAGCCGGCGGGACCGTGCGGCTGCGGCGGACCAGAAGGGGGCGCCCGCGCGGCCGCGCTCGGGTCCTCGGGAAATGCCGAGCCGAGAGCGCTGCCGGCTCTATTTAAGGAGTCGCCTGACGTCAGCCGCGCGGGTCCCCCGAGCCCGCGCCCGCCCGGGACCTGCCCGCCTCCCGCGTCCCCTCGCTCACTCCGCTCCGGCCTCCGCGCACGCGGCTCCCCAGGAGCCCTGGCCAGCTTGGGCGAGGAGCGGAGGGTGTCCTGGCGCATCCTGCGCCCCTCCGGGGCACTGGGCGCTCCCACCACGCCGGCCCCTGACACGACACCCCGGGGGACACGGCCAGGATGGCGCCCACGCCCAAGGGAGACTCGGACGCGGGCTCCCTGGCCCGGCTCGGCCCCCCTACCCAACCGCACACGCACGCACACACACTCACAAGGGCGCACAAGCCCAGACCAGACACACCCCACACCTCACGGGACTGGGAAGGAGAAACCCATTAACTGGATGGGGGAAAAAGAGAGAGAGACAGAGACAGAGACGGCCCCTGTCCCGCGCAGCTGGCCTCAGACCTCGTGGGCGCGCTCACACCCGGCCGCCTGGGACGGCGCTGCGAACGCGGGAGTGAGATCCGTGACTCCAGCAGCTCCCGGCCCCCCGCGCGCTGACTCACACCCGGTTGCTCGCTCCGTCTCGCACCTCTGAAGCGCGCACCTCCACCCCACTCCCTCCCCACCTCTGCCTGGGCCTGGCTGCAGAGCGAGGCCCCCAGTTGCAGGTTCCACGCCTGGCGGGTTCCTCTTAGCCGCCGCCCCCTAGCGGTAGACAGCTGCCGGGAGCTGTCCATGGTACCCCGGGGACCTAAGGGCCATGGAGCTAACCCCAACGCAGCGGCCAGTTCGCGTAATTCCTACGAGACTAGTTAGTTATGCAGCAAGTCTCAGGCGTCCTGCCCAGAATTGTCCTTAAGGGACCACTCTAGTACCATATGGAGAGCCCGGCATGAATGGCCAGGAAAAAAACCACAGCCGAGTCAGTCCTGGACAACGCTCAATCACCGTCCCTGTAGGATGTCCCCGTCCTCCATTCATGCTGTTCCCGACCTGATCATGAGGCTCTGTGGATCTTAGCTCAAACCGGGAAATATTTTGTCCCCAAACTGAGCCCATTGACCATTCCCTGTACTGAAGACAATAGCAGCTACCAAGCATCTGGCACGCGTTAACCCAAACGCTGCTTGCTGTAATCTATGAGATCGTTACCATAACCCACGCCACTTCGCTCTCTTAGTTCTAATACTAGCCAACGTTTCTCAGGTGCTTGTGTGCTGACAGCGAAGTGCTAATCACGCCGTAGGCTCTACCTCACTTACCTTTGGGGATAGGTGTTATTATTTATTATTCATAATATATAGACGGCGATAAGGAGGTTCACTGAATGCGTAATTGGTAATTGGCAGAGGTGATATTCAGCCCAGGCAGCCCGACCCCAAGGCTTAAGGTCCTCACTGCAGTTCCATCCTTTCCTCAACTCCTACATGTGAGCTAATTTATCTAGGTTTCTACTAAAGTATGATACTGGGACTGCATGAGAAATTCAGTGCCGAATTGAGAGGTTTCGCAGGACCCTCCTGCCTTCTCAGTAAGCTCTTTTTGTAGTAATGCCACCTACGACCCCTTTATCATTCTCCTGCAGCGGCAGCACACTGCTGACACCTCCAGCTTGAAGCCAAGGAACATCCATGCTTCCCACAAGTGCTGCTGATTAAAGTACATCCACCCCATGCTGTGCGTGTACAGTGGGATTTTCTGGACCCCACGTGTAGGTCCTCACACATTTGACCTGATTAAATTTCATCTTGCTTCATCAGTTCACTGCTCTAGTTTTTTCAGACATCTATTTGAATCTCAAGTCATGTAGCCTTCATATATTCGAACAGAAAAAGTAGAAACATTGTGTCCCATCTTGGCCCTGGATTCCAGCCAGGTGTACTTTGGGCAAGTCCGTCAATCTCGCTGAGCCTCAGTTTCTCAAGCTATAAAATAAAGAGTTATGATTAACTTCAAAAGCCTCTTGGGGCTCTGATATTGTGTAGTTTTATGATTCCATTATACACAGCATAAACCAATCCTTGGCAACATGTCATCTCCACATTTGATTACAATTTAATTAATTCTTCACTCAAATTGTTAATAAAAATGTCAAAACAAATATGCTGAAAGAAGTTCTAATATATACTTTCAGCATCTTTCCACATCACAAACCTGCTATTTCTGCACTCCATTGTTAAAATTACAAGGTTAAATGCAGAGTAATCCACTCTGACAGGTGCTGGGTTTTTTTTCTGGGGAAAAAGACATGCATATAGTTACATCACAGAATTCCATGCATGGCTCAATTTTTGAATTATCTTTAATCAATGAATCCACACACTCTGAAATTTCAGATACACCAGGACCAGGCAATTTTTCTATCCAATTTCTAACAGAGTAATGACCATGACTTGGATAGAATTTTCCAGAGTGAGACAGTGGGCCTATCTACTCCTCACCTTCCACTGGTGCCTTGATTCTCCTTTGGAAGTACCATACTAGAATCATGATGAGTTATGTCGTAGATCGAGCAGCACTCACTTATAAACAGGGTGTACATTTTTGTAATCACATCAGAATCCAGATAAAGAGACTCAAGGCTGGTGCCAAGCTCCAAACTGTAGAGACCCTGGCTCCTTCTATTTTGCTGCTTACCGTGTTTTCTCTATTCTAAAGCCACTATCTAAGATGGTTTATTTGTCTCCAACCATCATGTTCACATTATGGCAACCAGTAAAAAAGAAAAGGACAGAGCAAGACCTGCCCTGGAAGCTGTCTACATTATTTCAATGTCTGTTCAGTGGATCAAAATGCTGAAATAAGGTTTTTTCCCATAATTTTGAGAAACAAATAGCAATGAGACAGTTTCAGACCAAATTGGTAGGACAGTTTCAATAATTCACACATTGCATACATTCTTCCTAGTGGTTAATTGCTGTACAAGATGAGGACTTGATATCCTATTTACAAACACCATTAGAACAAATCCCTCTATTCATTGAAATAAGTTTTTAAGCTTTGAGACATCTTTTTAAAAAACTTAGGTATTTGGTAGAGGGTCTCACTATGCAGCTTGGACTCCTAGTGATCCTCCTGTTTTCAGCCTCCCCAGTGCTGAGATTACAGGTGTGCGCCACCACACCTGGACTCAGCTGCTGGCAGCATGTGGTACTGGGGATCGAACCCTGGTCCCTGCACTTATACTTAAGCAGGTGCTTAGTCCACTGAGCTATCTCACCAGCCCCAACACATCTTTCAAAATGTAGTCCTAGCTTTGGATTGCTATGTGCCTATCTAAAAGTTGGAGAATTTATTACCAAGGGTAAAGGCAACTGGTAATCTCTAGCCTTGTTGGGAAAACAGTCTTTCCTGATTTTTTCTCCTGTGGTTTGTGTGGCTTGGCTGTAGTTCACAGGGAAGCATGTGACCATGTCCGATACTACTATTTTCTAATCATATTTCAGTGTTTCAAACCAACTCAGACCTTCCTAGTGAGAATCAATCACAGATCTTTTGTTGAAACGTTTTTTCTTCTTAGATGATGAGCTAGTCTCAAGTAAGCGTGGCACTTCAAAAGGTCATCATCTCTGCCGTCAAATGGGGCACCCTAAGAGTGAAGCGAACAAAGAGGGAAACGGGGTGGCAGGATGGAGATTCTGATCTTTGAGTTCGCGAATCTTCCCGTGCTGGAAGCATTAGCCCTAGACCTTTTCCCTCCAGATAATTAGTTATCTTTAGCTGACTTATAATTGAGAGACCCTTGACCATGATTTTAGTGTCACCACCCAGACTGCAAGAAGTAGAGACCCTTTTAATAAAAAGTGATAGAGGTGAGTTGGTGCTTATTTTTCAGGTCTGCACAGACTAAGACTGGAATTTTTATGAATTGGAGAAAGTCATAGGATCTTGCTCCTTTTTAAAAACTACTTATGTATGTATGTATTTATTTATTTATTTATTTATTTATTTATTTATTTATTTATTTGGTGTAGGGTCTCACTATGCAGCTCAGATTCATACTGATCCTCCTGTCTCAGCTTTGCCAGAGCTGGGATTACAGGCATGGGACACCACATCCAGTTTTGATGGCCAGCACCACATGAGGTATTGGGGATCAAACCCAGGTCCTTGCACTTTCCAGGCAGGCGTTTAGACCACCAAGCTCTCTCCCCAGCCCTCCAGTTCGTTTTTCATCTCCTCTACTTCTCTTTGTATCTTCCTTCTTTTTCCTTGAACTCTTAACTGTCATTTTTCTTTATTTGTGAATCAGGAAGTGTCACTAACTTGTAGGTAGCAGAAATTGAATTTGATTGTTATAAACAGAAATATTGGCTAGGTCACACAGGAAAATAACTTCCAGGTTACTCACAGGGTTAAACGTTGGGCCAGTGGGCTCACGAGTGCTAGCAGCCACTTTCCCTGACCCTTTCTCGCAGGTCTCCATTTTTCTTTTGCACAAGTATTACCTTCATTCTTCCTTCCTACTGTGCTGTCCTGCACTGAAATCCTTGAAT